TAGTATCTAATATCTATTGTATACTCTATTTTATCATGAATAAATAGTATTTCATAGTTTAGTTACTTATGTCACTTGGATATGTTTTTGTGTATAACCCTTGTTCTATATTTTTGGATTAAGACAAACATGTTCTTAGTCGGTGAACTGTTAGGGTTAGACCCTAGCCCTAGGAAGGCATGGAAGCGTTATAGAACACTGAAATGAACCATTTCTTGATAACCCTTGGACTTTATGATTAGTAGGGAAACTGTATTGTTGCATGTAATCCCTAGACCTAATATTGGAATTTTAGTAGATCCTAGAATTGTGTGCTCTTAATATGCCAACTAGTAGTAAGACCCTTTTAAGGCCAATACCTAGGTATGATGCAGCAATAATGAATTAATCTAAGTGAGTCGCCAATGTGAAGCGATCTATTACTTTCTCAAACAAAGAGAATATCCTAGTAGATGTCCTCTTTAATGAGAAGCTTGAAATTGATCCCTATGGTTTTAATGTTGTTTGGAATACTTTTGCAAACTAATATTATTTAGGTAAATAATTTATTTGAAAAAATATAGTTTGCAATTATTTTCCTAGGATTCTCATCTTGGTATGGGACATGTTACTATGTGTAAGTTTTATAGAATCATCATCATCATTATTCATGCCTTATCCCAACTAGATGGGGTCAACTACATGAATCCTATTTCATCAATCTGTTAAAATCATATCCATTGTTATTAGTGCTTAAATCATTTCTTATTATTTTTGTCTATGTCTTTTTTAGTCTACTCTAGTTCTTCTAGCTCTTTTTATTTGTAGCAATTCACTTTTCTAACTAGAGCTTCTGGTGGTTTTCTATTCACACGACCAAACCAAGTTCAGATATGCTAACCACAGCACTTGCTTACCATGTTTGCCTAACCACACACTGGGAATATCTCTTTTACTTTATATTGCTAATATTCCTAATGTTAGCGGGATGAACATGGTGAGCAATGTGTTGTTGTCAACAAATTTGGATTCGACCAAACCATCTTAGTCTACTTTCTTTTATTTTGTCACGTATTGGAATTACTCCAAACTTCGTATAAATGACTTCATCCTTAATTCTATCATTTCTAGTTTTTTTACTCATCCATCTTAGTATTTGCATTTCTACCACTCATTTTTCAGACATGTTTTTTGACTTCCCAACACTCTACTCCATATGCACCCCTCCATTTTGTCCAACTTGATCTAATCCTTTAGATGACATCATCCTCGATGTCTCCTTTATTTTGAATTATTGAATTAAGCTATTGGAAATGTTCATATTGAATTATCTCTTAGTCTCCAATCCTATATGTATCCTAATTTGCACTCCTATTATTACTAAGTTTACATGTCATATACTCTACCCATAAACTTAATTTTGCATTTAAGTTTGAAATCAAATCCAATTAGGACTGTCAATGGGTTGGTTCTAGGTCGGAACTTGGCTAAACCAGTCCCAAATCGACAAGAAAATTTATGGACCTGGAACTGACCCAAACCCTATAGGGTTTGTAATTTGAGACCTGGAACCAAATCGGTCGGTTCTTGGGATAATTGAGTCCAATCTGATGGACCGAATTATACTTTTTATGTATAAAAATCCCCAATTTCAAATGGACAAATTTTAAATAATAAATTATTAATTATCAACTTTTTGTTTACATTTTGCATATTAATGAGATAAAATGGTGATGGGATCATAAATTAAAATATGCAGAAGAATAAGAATAAGAAGAAGAAATGTGAGGATGATCAAGAGAAAGAGAAAGACGGCGAAACCCCATTGTTTTTAGGGTAAATTTCTTAAACTACCCTTATGGTTTAGTTAATTGACTAAGCGTACTCTTTTTGTTGTTTTAAAATTGACTAAGTGTATCCTTAGTCAATTTTACCCTTACTGTTTCTAACAATTAAGTAAATATACCTTAGCCGTTAAATATAGATGGAAATAGTTAAATACCCATTTTACCCCTATGTGAAATTACATTTTTGTCCCTGATTTTAATTAAGCGGTTCCTGCGACTGGAGAACAGCTTTCCAACATTTCATGACTTCCCTATGGGCGCCATTTAATGGCTTCCCTGTACCATCAGCAGCACCGCTTTCCACCATTTCATTCCCACCTCTTGTTCTTCTTCCAGTGAAATTAAAGACAACCCAGTGATGTGAACCCCTGTGATCGTTGTGCTGGAAGCGACAGAAACAGGACCTTGTCTTTAACAGAAGATCTAATCCTAACATCTCCGGCAACAGTGGCAACCACCGGCGAAGAACAGCGGCAGATCTGCCCTTCTCCGGCAATAGTGGCAACCACCGGCGAAGCTGCCCTTTTTTCTTTCCTGTGCGTTTTGGCCAGACCAAGCGGCAGATCGAGCAACGGCGGATCTCCCCTGTTTGTCTTGCTGAAGCTCTCTGAAAGCCAGCAGATCCACCACTGCTCTTCACAGCAGCAACCATCGGCGGAGAACATCAGAGGATCTGCCCTTTTCTTTTTTTTTTTCCTATGCGTTATGGCCAAACCAAGCGGAAGATTGAGCAGCGGCAGATCTCCCCTGTTTATCTTGCTGAAGCTCTCCGAAAGCCGACAGATCCGCCACTGCTCTGCACAGCGGCAACCACCGGTGGAGAACAGTGGCGGATCTGCCCTTCTCTTTTTTTCCTGTGTGTTTTGGCCGGACCAAGCGGCAGATCGAGCAGCGGCGGATTTCCCCTGTTCGTCTTACTGAAGCTCTCCGAAAGCCGACAGATCCTCCACTGCTCTTCGTCACTTGGTCCGACCAAAACACACAGCAAAGCAACGGTGGAGCTTAATGGCCTTTCCCAACTAAGGATCGACTGAAATTTTGTAGGGGTTCATTCAAAAATGTGCGTTCGCGTTTGTCGTTTCTTGGTTTCTGATTTTAGAGATGGAGATCCATCATCTAATGGGTTCCACTTTTTCTTCAGCTTTACATTTTAAGCTGCAAAAAAATTAGCATGCTTGCAAAGCTTCTCTGTTCTCTTGCTCGAAGACAACTGAATCAAATCCTTGCAATCGTGATAAAAAACCCTAAACCCCATAAATATAATCCCCTACTAAGAGCACTCCCCCTCTCCCTCTCGTCTCGTCTGTACAGAATCTTTCTTTTTTTTTTTTTGTGTGATCAACTCCCCCTCTTCCTCTTGTCTCGTCTGTACTGAAGCTTTCATTGTTGCTTAGGTAGTGGCTAGTCGGTGCTCTGGCAGACATGGGAGAGGGATAATAAGCTTCTGGGAGGAATTCGGAAGATGGTTTTGATAGATAGGGAAGGGAATAAGGGTAGAATTGGATTTTAAAAAATTTTAAACGTCTAAAGGTAAGGATAGGAGCATTAGTCAATTTTCAAACATAATACACTTACTCGATTAGCTAATGGGGAGGGGGTATAAGGAGAAAACAACGGTTAGGCCCATGACTATGAAAGATTGCTGACAAACGAACAAATGGATGGCATTGGCCTTTCTTTCTCTATTTGGTGTTTCTCTTTCTCTGTTCACAGAATCATAGTTCGTTGTTCAGTGTAAGAGGTTGGCAGTCGGTCTTTCTTTCTTTGTAAAATGGCATTTCGGTAGGGTTTTGAATGAAACCTTGTCGAAATGACCATTTTAGACAATTTTGTATAAATATTAGGGAAAATTCTCGATAGGTATTCTGTATTTTAGGCCGAATGTTAATTTAGAGTTCGAACTTTAAAATGTGATAATTTAATATCTGAACTTTTATTTTGCACTAATCTAGTATCTACTGTTAATTGATTGTCAGTTATGTATATCACATGATTTCATATACGATTTAAGAATTTTGAAAGTATCAAAATTATCTTTAAAAAATACACTATTCATTATCTTCTTTCTCAAAAAAATGAAACAGAATCTAAAGGGCTCGTTGCTGGCCACCATGGCCAGTAGGAGGATAAAGAGTTTAAGACCGTCTATCTAATGGACAGCACATGCGTGCTATTCTCGTGATCTTCACTGTCGGTCTCTCTTGCTTTTCTCGTCTTTATTGCTCTATTGCTCTTTATTTGTTACTTACCTGTTTACTTCAACACTCTTATATTCAGTGGCAGTAGATGTAGGCAGGGTTGCATTTGCAGGTCTCATCTCAATCTCTCTCTCTGTATTGTTAGGCCTCAAGGGGGGTCATGGACCATGAGGAGTTGTCAAAACCGGGGGTTTTATACACATGTGCACGCATAATACTTATACACAAGAGATGGACACCACTTACAACACAAAAACCTAAGCTATTGGGTTATGGGCCATTCTTATATATAAAGTCCCTTGCACTTCTTGTGTCTTTCCAACACCGTATCCGTGTAAAATATATTTTTTTAAAACATTTTGTTTTTCATTTCGAACAAGATTTTGATTAAAACTGAATGCGATCCAAGTCTGATATCAGATTTGGGATTGGATCAGGGTCTTTAGTAAACGAATCAGACCCATCTGAATCCGACCCAACAACCAAGTATCAACTGGATCGGGCACACATGGGCGCTTCACAGGCACATCCACCGTGCATTGAGAACATCTCCCGTGAACAGTGGAGATGTTCTAAATGCATGTTAAGATGTGCTTATGACGTCGGTATGAGGCGCCGCGTGTGAGGAATAGATCCGGTCCCGTATTGGAAACCAATATCACATGCTTACCTAAACTCCGTTCCAAATTCCAAAGACTCTATCATTGAACCATTCTTTTTCACTCTATTTAAAAGACTTTATCTATCAAAAATGAATTTTAGACTTGTGGTTTTGGAGTTATTATGGATGTCCCACGCGGAACACGGTGGGTTGAATTCTCAGCGTCCGTCCGTGTTGACGTCCCTTTTACACTTCCATTTGTTGTGCCGACTCACCAAGGTCTAATTTTCTTCCATTCACAAGTTCGGACCTTCTGCTCTGTTAAACTTCTCCCCTGACGTTCTTCCTTGTTCACATCTTGATCGATCAGAAAGCATGGCTGAATTCCTGGTCTCTACTGCCTTGGATCAATTGGCCTCCATGGGCCTTGAACAGCTCCGAGAAGAGTGCAGACTGATTTCAAGTGTTGGAGATGAAGTAAATAGACTGTCTAACACATTTCGGACAATTCAGGCTGTGATTGAGGATGCAGAGGAAAAGCAAGTCAGCAACCAAGCTGTGAAAGAATGGTTAGTAAATATCAAAGATGCAGCTTATGACATTCATGACCTGCTGGACGAGTGGAACACCAAACATCAGATATCACGAATGAATAAGAGATCTGATAATGCTTCTTGCATTAGCTTGATGAAGAAGGTAAGCAACACTTACCTGTTCCCTCCTTTCTTTTGTTTCAACCCCATACATTTGCGCCATAACATGGGTATTAAGATGAAGAAGATCAGGAAAAGACTTGCTACAATTGCAACTGACAGAGTTAATTACCAGCTTACTGAAACTGCTACTAGTAATAGGAGGAGAATAGACGAGATTGTAGGGCGAGCTAGATCAACAAGTTCTCAAGTAGATGTATCAGAAATAGTTGGTCGTGATGTAGAGAAGGAAGAGATAATAAGTAAGTTGGTAAGTGATCAGAGCAGTCGACAACATGAAATAGGCCTTCATCCAGTCCCCATCATCTCTATTTATGGTATGGGGGGCTCAGGCAAGACAACCCTTGCAAAGCTAATCTACAACGATCATAAGATCACAACTCATTTCCAAGTGAGAATTTGGGTGTGTGTCTCTGAGCCTTTCGATAAGGCCAAGATTGCCAAAGCAATAGTTGAAGCTGTAGAAGGAAATATCAATTTCAGAGGTGATATTGAATGGCAAGTGTTGCACCAGAAACTCACAAACTCCTTACAGGGAAAGCTTTATCTACTTATTCTGGATGATGTGTGGTCTGACAAAGAATCAGAATGGGAGGACTTGAAAATTTCCCTGAATCAAGGTTCACTAGGAAATAGAATTGTGGTCACCACACGAAAGCAGAATGTTGCAGAGATGAGGGGCACAACATACAGTCATCGTCTTGGCATGCTATCAGACGAAAACTGCTGGATGTTGTTGAGTCGTATAGCTTTTGATGGGAGGACAGAAGAAGAATGTGCAAAACTGGAAGAGGTAGGCAAGAAAATTGCAAAGAAATGTCAAGGCTTACCTCTTTCTGCAAAGACTTTAGGTGGTCTGCTCCGCAACAAAAAGCCATTTGAACACGAGTGGAAACATGTGTTAGAAAGTAATACATGGGAATTACTAGAAGCTAAACAAGATGATTTCAATGGAGCTGTATTACTGAGCTATTACGACTTGCCTCCCCACTTAAAACGATGCTTTGCATTTTGTGCAGTGTTTCCTAAAGATTATGTGATGGAAAAGGATACCCTCATCAAGTTGTGGATGGCACAAGGATTCCTCAAGAGTACTAATACCAGTCATCATCATATGGGAAGAACACCAGAGTTGTTAGGTGAAGACTATTTTGATGAACTGGCCAATCGTGCATTTTTTCATGATTTTGTGAGAGATGAAAATGGCAACATAGAACAGTGCAAGATGCATGATATTGTGCATGATTTTGCACAATTTCTCACAAAAGATGAATGTTATGCAATAGAAATGGAGATCAATGATAACATTAATGCACAAGACTTGTTCAACTTTCACAAAGCTCGTCATCTAAGCTTAGAATTGGCATCATATCCTGAGTCTACAAAGCCTGCTCATCCTCTAGTGATTTGCAAAGCAGAGAAACTACGAACGCTATTATTGTCCTCTTTTCGTGTGGAAGTATCATTACCCGATTTATTCCATCATTTGACTTGCCTAAGGGCACTAAGACTGGAAATAGGGGACATTAAGGAAATACCAAGGGAGGTGGGAATGTTGATGCATCTAAGATTCCTAGATTTGTCTAATCAGCTAGAATTAAAAGAATTGCCAGAAACCATTTGTGATCTATACAATTTGCAGAGTCTAAATCTTGATCACTGTCAACAATTGAAGAAATTGCCCAAAGGGATTGGAAAATTGACACAAATGAGATATCTTGGAATTGAAGATACTACTAATCTTAAACACTTACCACAAGGTATTGGGAGATTATGCTCATTGCATACATTATCCAAGTTTGTTGTAAGTGATGATGATTCTGATGGTGGATGTAAAATTGAAGAATTGAATGACCTCAACAACCTCAAAGGGAACTTAGAAATAAAAGAGCTGGGCAAAGTAGCAAACAAGAATGAGGCTAGCATGGCCGATTTGAAGAAGAAGCAACATCTCTGTCATTTATGGCTATCCTTCAGTGAAGGTAGTTATAAAGATGATGACACAGTGGAGAGAATGGAGGGTGTACTCGAAGCTCTGGAACCACCTCAGTTCTTGGAGACATTGGGAATATATGGATACATTGGTAGTAAGTTACCAAACTGGATGAATCACTTGCTGTTGCCTAATCTTGTCTGTCTACAGCTTTTTAATTTTAAAAATTGTAAGCAATTGCCACCTTCTCTGGGAAAACTGCCATCCCTTAAAGAGATTGCATTGCGGAAATGGAATGAGGTTAAGTGCATGAATCTGGAATTCTTTGGATTGATCAATACTAATAATACAGGTCGAACTGCCACTTATGCGAGTGAAGGAAATGATGAAGAGAAGAATAAAATGTTATTGTTCCCCAAGTTGGATTATATCTCAATCTCAGATATGCCAAACTTAGAGGAATGGAGCCTTAGAATACAAGAGGAAGGTGGAGAGACGACTACTACTACTACTACTGCCATTACCTTTATGCCATGTCTTCGTACCTTGAAATTTCGATACTGCTCTTCGTTGAAAGCATTGGTTCACATGTCCGCTGCAGCACCACTAAGGACATTAGTTATAGAAAACCGTCCACAACTAGCATCCTCATCTTCATCATGCCTTCCAGAAGACCTTGAGGAGTTGGAGATAGAGGAGAAAACAGGGGACATCCATATTTTAGAATCATTACAACCAAATAACAGCATCAAGTTGTTGACTCTTTCTGGTTCTGGTGGATCGCGTGCTGGGTCACTTCCCAGAGGATTGAAAAATCTGGCAGTGCTCCGAACATTAAAAGTCAGATCGTGGAAATTCATAGCTTCTCTGCCTGAACCTGAAGAACTACAACATCTCACCATGATACAAGAATTGAGCATCTGGCACTGTCCAGCTTTGAAGAAAAGTTGCCAAAAGGAGATAGGAGAGGAGTGGAACAAGATATCCCACATCCCCAATATTATAATGGACGACACGAAGATCCAGTAAAGTCATGGTTCTATTCTTCTATTATTCTATGCAGAGTGCAGACAAAAAGGTAATGGAATTTCTCATTTTCAATCTTCTATCCATTTATTCTATGCATGTTTTTACATTCCACTTGAGAAAATAAAATGCACAGTAATTTTACACTACCAAATTCAACTCACTCAATCACACATGATTCCCAATGTATAGCTGTGATGTGATCAGTAGATCTAGACTCATTTGAGGGGGCAATCATAATTTTTTTCCGTCCAAAATATTTGCCAGGTGTATTCAATTTACACCTTTTTTATTGAAGCTGCAATATTCTGTCCATAATTAATAAGTCTTTTGATGATAATCTGGATTCAAATTCATTCCTAAAGCACCTAATAGCGATGAATCTTAACGCCCTAAAATTAATGAAATGCCCAACCAATCATAAGTGAGAATTGGGTCCCTAAATCTATGAACCCAAAAGAAACCTCAAAAGCGTCAAATCATTGCTCTTAACATACTATTACTACAATTTGTGACTGATTGAAGAAGAATGCATGGATTGGCCCAAGCCCACAAGTGATTGAAGTCATCCTCGGCCTCTAAATTTACCTTCCAAGGGATAATTCAAGTTGAGAAAAAGTTCACAGCAGTACAGCACATATAAAGTTTGGATTAACCAAAAAAAAAAAGCATTTGAAGTCGATAAAAAAGAGGTCATTGTGAGAATTCCAATTTACTAACCCATTAGTCCTCAAGCCTTCTTAGTTCCTTCGGTATTGTAAGTATAAAAGTTTTTTCTTATTGTGGGAACGTGTGATACACGGGCATTGTTACGGGAAATTGAGGGAAAAAGAACCCATAATCGATAGAGCAATTGATTATACATGTTGCTAATGTATCGTGGTTAACCAGTTTGATCCAGACGGTTGAACTGTTGATCCTCAAACCTAAGGCAAAAATGGTTCAGCCTTTGGATCAGTTTTTAAAACACTTATTATCTATACTGTTTTAAAAAGCACGAATAACCATAAAAATATTTCTGGAATTTTTTCAAGATAAAATTTACCCTTCCATATTTAAATTTATTTATAAAACAAGAGGGCAATTAGGGTAATCAGTTATTGATATTAAATGAGTTGAAAAAGGTAATATTAAGATATTCAATGTATTGAATTCTCTCTCATTAAATCCAAAACTTAAGTTATTGACTTGCATTTACCTTCATTGAATCATATATTTAAGACATTTTTGTTTCTTCTCGTCATTAAATTCTATTAATTAAATTCATACATAATAAATTAGTAATTTCAATAACATAAAAACTTATACTTTTAAAATATACCTAAAAATATAGTGTTAGGTGGTGGTAAGAAATTAAACCATTTTGAGTCAAATGGGTCAATCCATGTTTCCACAAATAAATAATAAAAGTCAAAAATAGATGAAATGCAAAAAAATATAAAAAAATGGGGACACTTTTATCATAATATATTAAACAATAATAAGTATGATAAATAAGAAATGCTTTAATTGATGATGGAAATAGAATATAAAATTTAAAACCAATTGGAAATAAAAGTATTTTTCATATTATCTCTCATTAAATGTAATATTTAAGGTATATTCTCTCATCAAATCATATATTTAAAATCTTATCAATAAATTCTACTAATTAAATCCATAATATTAATTTTAATAGCATAAAAATAAATATTTTGAAAAGTAATTTGAAAACAAAACCATTTTCTTCCTTCTTGGTGGTGGATAAGCAATTTAACCATTTGAGTCAATGAGTTAACTAATAATGCTATAATTAAATAATAATTAAAAATAAATAAAATATCAAAATATAAAAAAAAGAATTGGATATATCTCTAATATTATATATTCATTATACTGAAAATAATAATTATTATATTTAAGAAGTAATTTTATTATTGATGAAAATGGAAAGTCAAATCTAAAATCATCCCATAAATGAAATGATGTCATAATCAAATAAAAAAATATTTAGAAATAAAAAATACAAAGAATCACAAAAATAAAGAAAAATTAAAAAAAAATTGGGGCACTTTTTTGTTGTTATATATTTATAAAAGATAAAAATATTGGGTACATTTCTAATGTTATACATTCATTATATTGAAAAAAATAAGTATTATAGATAAGAAATAATTTTATCAATGATGGAAATGTAATACAAAATTTAGTGTTGACCAAGAAATCAAACTATTTTTCTTTTTAGGTGGAAGGTTAAATATTTCTAATGTTATATATTCATCACATTAAATAAAATAATTGTTAAAATAAAAATTATTTTTATTTATGATAAATGGAATACAAAATATAATAATAATAATAATAATAATAATAATAATAATAATAATAATAATAATTGTTATTGTAATTTAAGATTTCCACATGCAATGCATGCACACATTTACTACAAGCATTTAAATTTATTTATAATCATATTATTACTTTTGTTAATTTTCAATTTTTATCTGTAAAATTCAAGTAATTAATATGAAGAAAAATATCTCACGTGCAACACACGTGCTTAATTACTAATTATTAGTAAATGCATAAATAACAATGAATGCACATTATTAAAATTACTGCTATACAGGTTTACTAATATTCCAATTTCTCTCTCACTTAGTGATGGGTGAATTCCTCATCAATGAAATCGAGAAGAAATCTCGTAAGTCACACTTACCCTCTTCCTTAAAACCTTCAATCTCTTCATTTTCTCTTCCTTTAAATGGTTTTCGCTTGATGTCTTGACCTTCGATATTTTATTGTTGTGAAAAATTGGCAATTCAATCATCCATTCTAATCGATCATTAGATGCTTTTGTTGTCTCCAAGTTTTGCTATGACCCCATAAAAAAGTCTTCTATAAGTCCCTTAATTCAATGTTTTTTAGCAATAGAATTGGACAAAAATATGAATGCAGTGCTCAGGAAAACAGAAATAAGATAAAAGTACAAACATGTTTTAGAATATTGTTACCAAAAGCCCATCTTGGTTTTGGTTTTTAGTTGTAAGGGCAATATTGGCATTATAAAAACATTTAGAGCGATGTATTAATGGGGCTGATCAACAAGGTATATATAAGTAGAGTTTGAAAGTTAAGGGTACATTTAACGAGTTCGACTTCAGTCGGTGCAAGCTCATGCTCACATTGTTTGAACAACCTCTTCCAACCTAACACTAGGAATATCTCCTAATGAAATAAAGCACATAAGTATAGAAATATTCTCAATGCAAGGCTATAAATGTTGTTCGAACAGGCTTTGTACGGACCGAAGCCGAACTCACATTTAAGTAGTCCACCCATAAAATTATTTATTTGAAAACTACTTTATCTTCTCATAGTCCCTGCAACACAGGGTCCTCCGCTAGTTATCATTTAAAAGCACATTAAGCTACTTAATTTCACTTAATGTATTTTTTTAAAAGAATTTATTAATTACTTTAAAGTTATTAGTTGTAATTGTAAAATTATTTTTTTTTATTTTTAAGTAATTAATGTAATTTAAATATGTAATTAGATTAACTGAGTTAATAAATTATTTAATTTATCATGTTCAATCAATTAAGTTAACATAAGTAAATTAAGATAACTAGTTAAATTATATTAAATTGATTTGCTTAATTTATCTAATTGAAATATCTAAAGAAGTTTTCAAATTTATAATTTGGCAAAATCTACAATACATTGATGCATACAATTGTTTATATATGTAATGGTAAAATGAAATAATATAATAAAATTGAAAATAAAATTTTATATATATATATATATATATAGGTCGTTTTGGGTTGTGCCGGCATGCGGATCATGGGCAGCACGGCATACCATTGTGTCAAGCCCAATATGACCAGTTTTACATCTCTAGATACTTACAAACAAATTAACTAAAAATAGATAATCCAATAATAATAATAATAATAATTCCAATATCTCTATTATAGCCTATTTTGAGCTAAGGAACATTATCCTTTAAAAGAACATTAAGCTACTTAATTTCACTTAATGTATTTTTTTAAAGAATTTACTAATTACTTTAAAGTTATCAGTTGTGATTGTAAAATTATTTTTTTATTTTTAATTAATTAATGTAATTTAAATATTTAATTAGATTAACTGAGTTAATAAATTATTTAATTTTATCATATTCAATCAATTAAGTTAACATAAATAAATTAAGATAACTAATTAAATTATATTAAATTAATTTGCTTAGTTTATCTAATTGAAATATCTAAAAAGTTTTCAAAATTGTAATTTGGCAAAATCTATAATACATCCTATGAATTTTTCTTTATTTGTTGCCAACATTTATAATTGATGCAAGATAAATTTTGAAATAATAGATATTCTTCTTGATGAGGGCGGATTTGGCCCTCCTATGACATTGTGGCACATGGCACCTCAGAACAACTAGAACCACTTAGGCAACAACTTGCCAAGTTAATGGTGTCCAACCTGGCGGCCTGGCCCAGCGCGACCTGGCGGCCTAGCACAGGCACCAACCTGGCGGCCTGGCCCAACGTGACTTGGCGGTCTGGCCCATGTGCGGCCTGGTAGCCTGGCACATGTGCCAACTTGGCGGCCTGGCCCAGGCGCCGACCTGGCGACCTGCAAGACATGCTCACCGACAAATTCGGCATGCATATCCTAACACTCCCACGATCTTTGGAAGTTGGCCCACGTGGCGAACGATCCGGAGGGTGGTCAACATGCATGGCGGTTACCTCCAGGAATCTCGAACCACTTAGACGACCTCGCAGAAATCTCGGATATGGTGCGTGAAGCCCACGCCAAACAATGTCTATATAAAGGCACCAACCCCAATGGCAAGCAAGCAAGTAAGCAAATAAGCAAACTCTAGCTCTCATATTGTGATTTTTAGCTCGCAGTCTACTATGAGAGTACTGACTTAAGCATCGGAGCGACCTCGCCGGGTTAACCACCCCGGGTCCTCTGACATTTGGTTCCTTGTAGGTCTCTAAAGA